TTTCTATCTATCTATCTATCTATCTATCTATCTATCTATCTATCTATATTATACAGCAAAAAATCAAAAAATTACCTCATGTGGGTATAGCCTATTTCAAACCGGCGCAACCTTGCGCGAGTCCTCTTTAAATCCCGGACTGAATTCGTCTCGGAATCAGTGATTTGGAAATTAGTTTAGATAGCAGTCGGGGAAAAGATATAAATCTAAACGAAATGACGCCTCATCTAGAAAAAGCGCCTGTGTTAGTGGTAACGGGAGGGCGTCAGGTATCTTTCTAAAGGGGGAGAGGTTGCTGGAATCAACTCCGATATTGGCACCGGTTTGAATACCTATACCCAAATGAGGTAATTTTGAATTTTTTGCTGTATAATATATATGCTCTGTTATAATAAATACATTGATCTCTCATTGTGGATCAGTTTTAATATTGGATATTACTAAGATCCACCTGAATTATATACCAACGGATCTGTACTATATATATATATATATATATATATATATATATATATATATATATATATATATATATATATATTTATTTATTAAGGCAGCAAATAATTATTTAAAATATATTGTTAAATATAACATACAATGAATATCTATTATGTTTGATCCTGAGCCGTTTTAAACTCCGTATATTTGCTTTAATTCGGGGGAAAATAATTTTTATTAAGTTGTCCCTTCATCTAAGGTTTCGGCTTACATGAGCCATCTTCAGAGAGGTTATGCGGTCATTTAAACAGATATATTCAACAATGATATTCACGGTCGCTGAATAGCAGAGACAGGTAGTAAATTTATGATGAAGTCGTACCGCTATCGTCGCATAGAAATCTACTATGTCAACATAACAGAATATCATCTTTGATGGTGAATATCTTTGTTTAATTGTCCATACAATTATTCTGAAGAAGGCTCATGTTAGCAGAAACCTTAGATCGAGGAACAGCTTAATAAAAACTATGCAAATGTTGGATAATTTTATTTTCACCCGAAATTAAAGCAACAATGCAGAGTTTAGAACGGCTCGTGATCAAACATAACAGACATTCATTGTCTGTTATATTTAACGTCATATGTCTAAATATATATATATATATATATATATATATATATATATATATATATATATATTTATATATATATTAATATATATATATATCATTATTTAGACATATGTCGTTAAATATATATATATATATATATATATATATATATATATATATATATATATATATATATATATATATATATAAAATGACAATAGGAAAACTAGTAATTGCTGACGCGTTTCGTCCAATGTGGACTTTAGCAAAGCAAAATACGAAATATAAAATTTTGATAAAGTCCACATTGGACGAAACGCGTCAGCAATTACCAGTTTTCCTATTGTCATTTTTATTCATAAATATTGTTTTCTCTACTGGTTAAATCGGAGAATTTTCATATAAATATATATATATATATATATATATATATATATATATATGTGTGTGTGTGTGTGTGTGATTCGCAGACAGTACTGTTTCGCAGCTCCTCAGAGCCACTAGACAACCGAATGCCTCAAACCCGGATCGAAACCCAACCGATTAGCTTCTACCATTAAGCCATCTTCACTCGGCAGACTGAGTCAGCCAAATCTAGTGTATTGTTTATACAAACGTAAACAAACGACAAGATTATATATATATATATATATATATATATATATATGTGTGTGTGTGTGTGTGTGTGTGTGTGTGTGTGTGTGAGAGCAAATATATGGATATAGATCCGACAGTATGAAGAAAATATATGGAAAAACAAACAAAAATCCTAATATGCAATTATGCTGTTTATATTAACATTAAAACAGCATAATTGCATATTAGGATTTTGTTTGTTTTTTCGCATGTTTTTCTTTTATATATATATATATATATATATATATATATATATATATATATATATATATATATATATGATAAGATAGGTATGCTATATTTCATGGGTTAAAATGCTTAATATCAGTGTATGTAAATATAAATTAATGTTTTAAGATTATGGTCACCCATAATGAATTCTGGTGTGTCTTCTTTCTCTCTCAGGATTGCGTCACTGTCAAAACCTTGTGATAACGAAGATATGGATATTAGTCCAAATGCGATAACTCCTTCTTTGTTCCCGGAATTTAGGTGTAGACTAATACTACTTAAACCTTGGAAGCTGTAGAATATCATGATTACGTGTCACTGTTCATGTTCCGAACTTAAAATCGAAATTAAGAGTAGACTTAAATTAAATGACCGTCATATAAATTTTCACATTCCTTTTTAAATTGAAACCTACGGTTAAATGTCTGACAGAAACACGATTTAATGAAACCTTTTCATTCACAATTAGTCTGCAATGAGCCTATTTGTGAAGGACTTTAAGTGATTTAATTCCACTGCTATAGTTCGGATGTCAATTGATTACGCCACTTAAAGAGCCAATTTTTCCTTTCCGGTAAGGCATCAAATAAACGAGCGAGTGTTGTATAAAAATTTAAGCCAGGAAATAACGGAGGTTTGAATCAAATAAAATATCCATATAGTTTGGCTTTCACAGTAGGAAATACTTGACAGCTGAATCGAATTTAATGTCCACGTAGTATATGATTCGAGCTATAGAATACCAAAGTTCTGAATTGAATTTAATGTTCATAAGGAGCCATTGTCCAAAGAGAAGTTGATCTGTGGTGACCACAGTTTATACTGTTCACCCTTCGTGATACCAAAATAGGTTTGCGCACAATGTCCCAAGAGAGCATCAGGAACCAGATGAATCGAAGTGTTGGCTAACCTGACCTCTCAGCGACCAAGTACAGATTCGTGCCCCAAAGGATACCAGTGGCTGCCGCCGACATGCGAGAAAGTGCTCGATCCAGTTTCGTTTAGGATGTGCACACGTAGCAGAACTAGCTGACATGGAGATAATATATGCACAACACCCGAGTGGTAAAAGCAGAGTTTCTCACATCCTCGCAAGAAGAAGATCTATGTTTAAAGACCCCATTTCCACCATATGCACCCCCCCACACCGATATTAATTTACGAAGTCCAGAAGTAAATAAACAATAATTTTACGCATGAACGATTTAGTCTCGGTTTTTGCAACAATAACTTCACGCTTATGAAGAAATTTTCCTGTAAGAGTTGATATGCGGTGATTTGAATGGGTATATAGTTTCATCCTAAGAGATACCAATATGACGTAAGCTTTTTACTCGGTGTCACATTAGCATGTCAAAAGAGCTGGATGCCTCAGTGTTAACCAAGAAGGTGTTCTTATAATCACCAGGTGCAGAATCGGGCTTGAAATGATATGTCAACTGGTTCGCCGACATAAATAGGGAATAAAGACAATTGAACATAGGATATACATGTTCACGGCAATCAGATAACGGGAAGTAATAAAAACACCCGACGAACGAGGGGGTAAGCAGTGTGAAGATGATCGAACGTTGGAAGAAAGCCCTCCAAAATCACATAACCTCAACGGTTGACGTTGATCTGACGAATTCTTATATGACGTTTATAGTCACATGGTTTTTTGCAATAATTTTCGGCTTGCCAAAAATTTAAATATCTGGAAAGTTTCTTTTAACAGACGACACAAAGTGCGACGCTGAAATCCGAAGGCTCATTGAGATAACCAAAAATACATCCCAAAATGCTAACCACATCATTAAGAAACAGAAGAATTTCGTTAAAAAGAAAAGAGTATTGAAATCTTTCGTGATATCAACCCTCCTATATGGCAGTAAATACTGAAATATCTCCGCGGAGATGAAAAAGAGACTTGTAGCAACAGAAATGTGGTTCTACAGGAATATGCAAGCAACGATGAGGTTTTAGAGAAAATGGAAACATATATATAACATCAGGAAGAGACAGTTGAAATTTCTAGAAAAGAAGACTTGTAAAATCTGATACTCACAGGACAGATTGAAGGCAAGAAAGACAGATGAAAAGCAACGGATAACATACTTAGTGAGCTTGAATAAGCGGATGTCAGAACTGGATTTAGAAGTAATAACAAAACAATATTTATTAAATTGTGAAGAGCCATGATTGCGTATGTTCTTTGATTCTGAATGATCACCTTACTATGATAAGAAGGGAGCGTAAAACTGCTTTATTACAGTAGGTATCGATTTAATGTCCCTGGTTTTTAGTAATATTGCTAATATTCATTTTAGCTCTACTTGTTATCATTTATAGAGCGTCCACCCTCACCAGCAACAGAACTACATTAGTTACGTTTTAGCTTTGAGTCAAGATAAAACATATTTTCATATGGCTGCGGAAGTTGATATTCCGGGGTCGGTAGTCAGTGAAGTGTGGATACTGGAAAGGATTATCTTGTTGGGTCCCAAAAGCAATTAACCGAAAGAAAGTTACAGAGTAAAGGCATTTCTTTCCAGCTTTGGAAGATTCTGGAGCTCATGACAACAGGTGATGAGACCTATGGGCGTCACGTTACCACTGAAATAAATATGGTTCCATGACCCAAAATCAACCTATCGCTACCGGCATCCACAAAAATATCTATTGGCACGCAGAAAAGTCAATTGGCATATCAACTGGCATGCAGAATGTAGAATGCTTGATTGATTGATTCGTTTTCTACGGATTATCAACCCTTTGTAGATTATTTAAAGCCAGAAAATATTTTTACATTGTAAATTTTTTTTTCAGAAATAATAATGTTTTATTATTGCACGTTTTACTCCATTAAACCCATAGTTGGGGGTAGAAGAGATAGATTCGTACTTTTTCTAAGGGTATTTGTGCATAAGTAAATATAACGAACTCGACTGAAATTGAAACTCGGCCCCCTGATTAACAATTCTGAGCCATTATCCAGCATTATTATTACAGCATCTGATATTCACATGCGGTTAGCCATCTAGGTACTGACCAGGATCGAAGTCGCTGAATTTTGGTGATCATACTACCTGCACATTCAAGCTTACAGCACGTGGTATTCCCAACGGGTCACCTATTTCGGTACTGACCAGGCTCGACGTTGCTTAACTTTAGGGATTTTATGGTAACCAGTGTTTCAAAGTTTGCGGCCGTAATCCCTGTGGAATAATTACGGCATAATTAGACATTAGGCTCAATTTAATGGCTACTAATTCTTTTTTTTTATTTCAGCACAAGCAAGGTAATAATGCCAAGAGCCAGACGAGGTAGAAAGTTGCGGAGAGCCGTGGTCGCTTATGCTCTGAAGGAAAATGTAAGAAGAAGAAGAATACTTCATTTAGCTTTTGGATGGCATCTTTCTCTATTTCAATGTGTCTTCGGATTGCGGTTCTTACTGTACTTGCTTGATTTTGGAATCTCTTAGAGACGAGACAAAAATGCAAAGCCCCCGTTCGGAGATGAACCTAAGGTCACACGCACACTTATACATTAGCCGACTGTAAATGACATGAGCTGGAATTTTTTTTTTTAGGTTGACGGAGTGGGGGTAATCAATTCATCCGATGCCAGGCACTAAATCCAGTAAGGCACAAGAGATTACTGAATGTGAAAGAATAATAAAAAAAGAGAAACATTTTTAAGGGGCGAGAACAATAAAAGAAGAGGAACCAAAAAGACAGTAGTTAACGATTGACATTGCATTTAAGTTTTTGAAGTTGGCTGGAAACTTTCACAATTGAGAATTGCGAGAGAAGAAACTATTAGCATAGAACTTACGGTTGCGTCTAGCCAATTTAACTGTAAATGGTTTCAGAAAGTGTTTATTATAACATAATTTTATTTTATTATACACCAGTGCATAATATATACGAAGAATCACGAAAATTTGTAGACTTTTACAGTTACGTTTGATATATGTCAAAGTTTTTCATACATGTCTGTAATCTTAATTAATGGATTTATTTTTAATCTGACATTTTTATTACATCAAACGTTATTATAGTGGATACTTGGCATTTGAAATCGTCGTCACAATGCGTATTCCGTCTATCGGTCTGCGTATTTTAGAAATTCAAGTAAAGAAAATGTGTTCCCTGGTAGGGATTGAAACTGTGCCTACCTTTGTAGTGTTTGATCCTTGCCGGTAAACGGAATACACAATGTTTAATAAATAAAAATGGGGCGTCTCTTTTAAATACAAAGTAGTCACTATAATCCTCCACCAGCAGTCAAAACCTAACAATCAGCAGCAGCAGTCAAAATATGAGAGCCTGCAGCATCAACAGCAGTCAAATATTACTGCTAGCAGCTGCAGACAAAATATTACAACCAGCAGCAGCAGCAGTCAATACATGACAAAAAGCAGCAGCAGTCAATACATGACAACCAGCAGCAGCAGTCAAAAGATGACAGCCAGGAGCTGCAACAGCAGCAGTCAAAATATTACAACCAGCAGCAGTAGCAGCAGTAGCAGCAGCAGCAGCAGCAGTCAATACATGACAAAAAGCAGCAACAGTCAATACATGACAACCACCAGCAGCAGTCAATACATGACACCCAGGAGCTGCAACAGCATCAGTCAAAATATGACTGCCAGCAACAGCTGCAGTAGCAGCAGTTAAAACATGAGAGGCAGCAGCAGCAGCATCTGTCAAAACATGACAGCCACCAGCAGCATCTGTCAAAACATGACAGCCACCAGCAGCTGTCATGTTTTATGACAGCCAGTAGCAGAACCAGCAATAGTAGGAGCCACAGATTTAAAAGCTCCAAATGGCTGGTGTAGTTGAATGATCTAAGTTTACCTCAGCAACTTTTTAAAATTTGTTGACATAGTGATTGTGAGTTCAATTCCTGGGTCGGGCAGTGTGTACATGTACTCAGTGTAAACGGGTCAGCAATAACTGAACAGTACGAAATGACACAGGAACTAGACGAGTGCGAAAGGTTTTAAATTTGTCGTCATTTTCTGACAGTACAGCTTGCAATAGCTTTCTTTGGATATTTCCGCTTTGAATGATTTAAAAATCAGAATACTTTTTTCTTTAATGCGCGCCAATAGAATTAATTTTATGGATGAAAAGCCATGATCAGTGATGCAGAAAATCTGACAAATGTAATTGTCAAATTAATTCAAGATGGATGGCATTTTTGACAGCAGCGCGAAAGTCGGTATACATATCGAGTGTAACAGCAAAATTGTCCAAATCTTGTAACAGCAAAACTGTCTAATTGTTAGATCAAGCTTTGAGCCGTTGTATCTTAGAAATGATTAAACTATTAGCCTCTACTTTAAACAATAAGAATGTATTTAGTTCTAAGTTGAAATGATGATCCTTCTTGCTGTTGTGACCTCCTGACTCAGTTTTCCTCTCTACTGTTACCCCTTTTTTAAAACACATTCACCGTTCTCTTGATGGTTCTTGAATGGACTTTGAAGTTGGAAGTCAGGGTATGAATGTTAGTACCATGACCGAATGATCTTTTTCCTCTCACCATTGCTCATTTGGGGAGATAGTCGGGCTAACACAAAACGATTTTAACCTGTCCTCCTTTTAGCTGAATAACTCAAAGGGGTTTTCAGTGATTCTTACGAAAAATGGTGTCAAGATGGCTAAACGTCTTATCTGAAACGCTGGAAAAAAGAAACCCAGATTAGTGTTTGTTTTTTAGATATTAAATATTTTGTGGGATGGACAATTATCCCATGCTGTCACACAATTTGGACAGTTTTGCCGCTGCACCCGGTACAAGAGCAGAATTAAAATCTGACGCACATAGAGGTGAATATTTGGCTTCGCCGAAATCGGCGAACCAGGTTCAAATTTTAATTCTGCCAAGTTTGTTTTCTTGTTTTTAATCATTTAACCCAAGCAAGGCAATACATCTACCAGGGTGCAAGGGGTTAATACGTGTTAGAGAATATGAGAAAAACTACGACTGGCTAAGGATAAGAATTAAGAAGACAGAAGATAACGATTGACATTTCATTTAAATTTTTGAAGATCAAACTTGACTGGGAAGCAAGAAGCCGGAAGAGAGTTCCTCAAGCGAGAAGTACGATAGAAGAAACTGCTAGCATAGAACTTATGGTTACATCTAGCCATTTCAATTGTAAAATGATGAGACCATGCCGCCACTATAGTACTGCGCTTACATTGATAAAGCCTAGGTATCAGAGAGGAAGGTTCATCAGAACAATCGCCATGAAAGTATTTATAGAAGAGACACAGGGAAGCTAAGTTAAAGCGAAAGGAACGGACTGAACCCAAGATGCCAGGTCAAGCCCAGTAACGTAACAGTATGGCCCGGTGCTCCTTCTATATAAGTAGAGATCCTTGATAAAATCCAAAGAAGAATCAGCAATATTATTGATCCTGATCTGGTGTCTCGGTTTCAGTCATTTTCCCACCACCGTAAAGTTACTTCCCAGTGCATTTTCTATAATTACATTTAATGGTAATTGTTCGGATGAGCTCTTCCCCATGGTACCTAGACTTTTTGAATTTAGGCGCAGTACTAGACTGGCGTCGAGATCTCATTAATTTACAGTTGAGTTGGTTAGATGTAACCATAATTTCTATTCTAATAGTTTCTTTTCTTGGACTATTCGCTTGTGGAACTCTTGACTAACTCCAGGCTTTCAGGTCAACTTTGATCTTCAAAAATGTAAATGCACTGTCAATCACTATCTGCTGTTCTGCTGGTTATACTTCATTTCTTCCCGCTTCTTAGTAATGTTTCTGTTTTCTAATTCTTCAAAACACAGTAAACCCTTATATCTTAGTAGCTTTATGTTATGGTGAGACACGCCTATTATATAGTTAATAGACTCTCCCACCTAATATAAGTGGGAGTAGTAATAGAAACGGGAGTGAAGGGCAGTCAGTCAGTTGATGTTGGACGACAGTTAGTCGAATATAAAAGTATCAGCGACCACAACGAGATTACTCTGCGTAATACCTATTATATCAAGTTCCTAACGTTTTGTACGTCGAACCTATTTTTAGGACCGATTCAGTACAAATACAAGCCTCCACTGCGAAATCACTCCACAACACTTGATACTTTTCTGAGGTGAGCTCGCTTAAAAAAGTGTCGCCTAGTGAGGGTTCGTTGTGTACCTTTAGAAACGTACCACTTGAAGTATTCTTTTGTACGATTCAGCGAGCCGTGGTTTTTGGTTTCTTGTGGTGGTGGTGGGGGGGTCTTACTAGAAAATCGAAGAGATTATGAGCAAAGACGCAAATCTAACACTGGTCTAAGAACCATCAACAATTTAATAGTATAGACTCTCCAAAAGTTTTTTTTTAAATTACTCCTAGTTGAATTTTCCACTAAGATCTTGAGGTATCTAGAAAGGGAGTATTGTTATATTATTACACGAATGCATTGGGAGTTCGTATTTCTTTCGGACTGAGTAGAGAAGAAAACGATAGAGCTCTCCGGTAGCGCGAAATTATGTGAACTCTGGGATAATTAACTTCGAAATCCCTGGGCGCAATCCCGGCCGTCTCCCTACCAACTTTCTCCGAAATACCTACTCGACTCCTTGCCAACAGCCTACACGAGTACGTGCTTCAGTTTATATCCACTTGCACCCAACATTGAAGGATATTACCCCTTAACAAACAGCAGGATACTGAGGATACTATGGAAACAACAATTGAATAACGAAGTTTTAAGGAAAATAAAAACAAAAAAAGAACACTTATACTTAACATCAGAAACAGGCAGTTGAAATTTCTAGGGCAAATAATGAGGAAAGTGGGTTTAGAAAATTTGACACTCACAGGACACGGAGGAAAACATCGCATATTCTACCTTAGAGGCTTGTGCAAATGGATGACAGAACAGGGTCTAGTTTAGATAGCGAAAGATCAATTTTACTAAGAGCTACAACGGATAGGAAATTGTGGAGAGCTATGACCGCACACGTCCTGAAGAGACACAGTATATCGCAGAAAAAGAAGAATATATAGCAACCGCATTTCATTTATATAAGAATTATTGAATAAGACAGAAAAGGAATATTTTGTTAGTCTTTTGTTTTAACAGCTTTCGACCATTTTCTGGCCATCTTCAAGAACAGAGGGTTATTTGCCAGAAGAGGAAATGATGAACCCAAACTGACGTCATATTG